TGCTTCAGTTTTAAAATGCGAAATGATACAAACAATACTTTTTGTTTTCTTATCTCTCTTGTGCCGTGTTGCAGGGTGCGCTTGGGGGATATCGCTGCTGCTGTGGACTCCGTGGATCTACTCATGGCCGTACATCGAGGGGGAGCGCACGGTGCCGGACACCGAGTGCTATATCCAGTTCATCGAAACGAACCACTATATTACCTTTGGCACGGCCATAGCGGCCTTCTACGTGCCCGTGTCTGTCATGTGCTGGTTGTACTGGCGCATCTGGAGAGAGACGGAGAAGCGACAGAAGGACCTACCCAACCTACAAGCGGGCAAGAAGGACAGTTCCAAACGGTCCAACTCGAGGTGAGTTCGACATTCCTGCTAGCTGACGGTAACTTTCACGTGGATAATGGAAGAGTTCAACTTGATAGCTAAACGCGTACAGCGCAAATGTACCTTGCGATGCGCCCCAGTGCTATCAGTGTGCATTTGGATCATCCCGTAAGTTCGTCCGTCACAAAACTGCCTCGTTCTGCCCGTGCAAGTTCTCATAGCGCCTGGCAGGTAGGCAGTATCTTTCCTGCAGTGCACACGTGCGCTGCGGGTTGGCCTACCCTAGGTTCCACAGGCGCTGACCTGATACAATTTGCCGAACGAATCAGACGGACATACTGTCTGGACGACCATGCACATGCATTGTAAGCGTATCTGATGACAAAATCTTTTCTTTACAACGTTTTGACAGTTGCGCTTAAAACAAATTTGCTACATACAAAATCTATTTTTTTTAGTACCATGGCATAATAATATATGGTAGGGTGGTTCACATATAAATATATAATCTTGTTTCTTTACGCTCTATTCAATAATACTCTTCCGGAATCATTTCGGATTGCTTGCTGCACTGTTAAAAGGTTGAAACTAAATTCTCCCTGTAAGCTGTTATTAGCGTGATCGGCCGCTCTCACTTTCTCTTAAACTATCTCTCTCTCCGTCTCTCTCTCTTCCTGAAAGGTTTCACTATCTTTTACTCTTACCTGCTTTCATTCATCCTGACACAAACGGAGCAATCTCCAATCCGTCATGAAAGGAGAAGAATAAAACGGTGGAAAAAAGGAATAAGAGCTCGGATGGAGAAGTGGTGAGCGGCTTGCCGCCGACTAGCATTCAGTTTGCCGGGGTTTTCCCCAAACACTTTCCTCTTCTTGTTCTCTTTCATATTTTACTTGAGGTAGTCTGCCAGTCAGGGGATGTGGGCATGTGGAGTGGCACAGGCGAAGGCGGGGCTCCTCGCGGAGTGGCCCTCCACCGCCTTCACTGCAAGGCGCAACCCCGCCCATAGCCTTCCGCCCTGCCAGACATACAGGACTCATGAGTCTGTTTTCTGCCGAGTCCAATTGCGCGTCAGTCGCTCCTGCATTGTCACCTCAAGGGCCAGCCACACCCCTTTTAGTTCTTATAAGCGCCTCATGAGCGAAGGGGTTTTCACTTGCGTAATACACTGTACACCTAAATTAGGTATTACGCGTGATGTAATACCTATAATTAGGGAAATGTGCTCTAAAATGGTAGAATTTTGATTTCAAAGACCGTTTAACAGTAGCGTATTACCGCGTAGTACACGTAATATGTAATACACTGTACATGAAAACTCCGAGTGAAAACCTCCTCGCTTAGGAGTCAACTGCAAACAAGCGATTCCCTAACATTGTAGTGGACGAGCCGTTATTCACCTGTTGTTTACGCTAACGCAGCGTCGGCTGCCCCAACAGCGACGAGGCGGTGGACCTGGAGGACTGGAGACGGCAGCGGTCTGAGTCTGGCGGGCCTGGACAAGATGACCTGGAGTCAGGGTACCTGCGCTACGAGCAGAATAGACAGGTGAGTTATTGCCCAGTGGCACAACAAGGTTTTATTGGTGGCCCTTATTGGTAAATGCTTTCCTATTCAAAGTTTGTTTGCTCTACGGGAGTTGTTTTTTTTACTTCAGATAGGACCTTGGCAAAAAAAAGTCAAAAGTTGGGCAAATTTGCTTTGTATTTCCTGCGATTAACCCTTTTCTCTTTTTGTTTTTGGCTGGTATTATGAGTATTTGCGGGTTTAAAGCAGTGTGAAGAGAAGTGTGCACCCCACCTCACTCCCTACAAAAGGACTTTCTACTAAGGGCTAAGGGTTTACGTTCCTGTTTAGCAGGTTTCTAAACGTGCTGATAAAGGAAATATTGCTTTGTTTTTTGAACCTTGCCTCTGTAGTGTGTTAGCCATCACAGGGTCCTACATCGAGTCCTATCTTAACTAACATCTCGTTTCCCCATATGAAACACTCCATTCAATAAAACTTTTTAAATTACACGGAGCAAATTGGAGACGCACGGTAAAAACAAGTACTGGGATTCCCAGGAGAGTTGGAACCCCAGTGGATGCCCTGGAAACAAGCAAATACTCCCAGGGGATCTACTGGAAAACCCAGGCAATCCCCTGGGAAAATTACACATTTCCAGGGCAACCCCTGGGACTCTTCCAACTCCCCTGGAAAATAAAGAAAAGTCCTGGGAATCCCAGGGCTTGTTTTTGCCGTGCGAGTGTTTGGGAACATGTTAAACCTGTGCTTACCGTAACTAGCACTGCTATCCCATAGTCCTGTATCCTGCCGGCTGAGCAGAGGATGAGGCATAAACAAGCCATGCGACAGAGGGGGCTTGGCAAATCCCTCTGCTCTACTTCTTGAGGTCGTCGACATGGGAATAGAGCTCCGGTTGGGGGATTGGGGGGGGGGGCGTTCTGAGGAGGTGGAGATTGGGAGGGAGGAGGGGAAGTGGGGAGGCGGCGTTTGAGCAGCCATAGACTTACAATTAATTATCTCATTTATTATCAAGGCACTGCCGATAGGACCGCAGCCAGCGATTAGCCGCCAGCGGCGGCGGCGGAGGGGTGGGGCCCAGGGGTCCGAGGGGGGCTCTTAGGCCGGAGGCAGGCGAGAGGCAGCGCACCCCCTCCCCTCCAGGGGTTACCGGGCTGTTGCTATTTCCGCCGCCGGATTTCCTCATTACGATATTCCTGACTCGCGGTGTCTCGTCGCCATCTCCTTCTCTACCACTCTGACGAGGTCGGAGGAGCACGGGAGGGGGATATTTGAGGGGTGGGGGGGGGGGGTTTGCCTCCCTGTTCTCTGCTCTCGCTCATCATACCAGGAAGCTTTTCTTTTTCGCTCAAAGTGGGCGGGAAACTAGTTGGGTATGGTGGATACGATTAAGTTGCTGATCCGGCCAGACGGTTGACATTCGGAGCTTTAATTGCTTGAGCGGCAAAAAAAACCTGCAGATCATATGAATGGTCATTTGGCACACACACACACAGTATGAAATAAATAAACGTTCCGACATTTCCATCACTGTGAATTAATTGGCACACTTTGAATTTCTGCACTATCTACGTACATCAAAATGAACAAAGTACGTAAAATTTGCAGCTGAAAAGCCATAAAAAATGTACATTTAAATAACAACGAGGCCGTTGTCTTACGATTGTCTGCTGTGAGTGATGATAATTTTGTCGGTGTAACAAGGCTTCCACTGTGTGCCTCTCCTGCTGCCGATGCTAATCATAAACCGTATTCATCAACACGGCGGCAATCGGTTGATTAATTTACCGGCGAGGGCCGTTAGCGCGCCACGCTAGAGAGGTGGTGGAACTCAGAGAAAGGGGACGGGGGAAAACCCGGAGAGAAAGGTACGCTCTCTAAAAACTCAACAGTGTACAGTGTATGCTGAAAAATAAGCGATCATTAATTATTGCTGATATATCAGTGTACATGGCATGATTGCTGATTTATCAGCAATCATCAATGATCACGTTTAGGTTTTTTGCTGATATTTCCTTTCAGACGGATGTCATCGGAAAGTGGATAGCATTTTCAGATTCTTCGTGAAAAAAGCTTTCAAACGAGCTACTATGAGATAGGGTTTAATTTATTTTTCGGTGGCATCGAGTGCGCATCATCGAGGTAGAGGCGACAGAGCTGTGTGCCTCTGGGTGCTCACTGGTTTAGTTGCGCTCTGTTCCGAA